GGAGAAAGCACAGAAGAGACCAGCTCGGATTCAGACCGGGATTCAGCTTCCTTCCCAGGTGTGGGTCAGAACATGTCTGTCTCTATCCAGACCAGCCAGGACTGGAAACCCACCCGCAGCCTGATCGAGCATGTCTTTGTTACCGATGTCACCGCTAACCTGATCACTGTGACAGTCAAGGAGTCCCCCACCAGCGTTGGGTTTTTCAATCTACGGCAATACTGAGTCCAGGAGAGGAGGGAGAGGATCCTCTGGCCTCTCAGTTTTGTCCAACTCTTCCATCAGTTTTTTTCTTTCTTCAAGTGAACCTTGTGAGACCTGCTGGGACTCGTGTCTAGAGAAGCTTGAGAAAGCCACGATGAAACCTGCTCAGAACTGCCAGCGAGCCAGTGGATCCCTCCTGGCTTCTCTCCATCCTCTCCGGATCCAGTGCCCCAAGTGGAGGTGGTGGATGCCATTCTCCAGGTGCAGAGGCTGGCAAGTTTTGAGCCAGGCTTCACTGTACATGGATTTCTTTGCTTTAGTTCTTGAAATGGCAGATGACGAGCTCTGCAGCTCTCTGGCAGCAGCGAGAGGGTGTGGAGCTGCCACGGGCCAGGCTTATCCTCAGGAGAGGAAAAGCAGATCCTTTTCTTTCCTCTGGGCTCCTGTGAATCCGTCTGTGAGCTGTGGGGAGTCACAAATCAATCCAAATGCGACAGCCGCTGCTCCCAGCCCTCAGGGGGGCTTGGGCGGCTGCACACGGGGGCTTTCAGGGTATACTCAGCCCAGCCACCCCCCTGGGCAAGGCCACTTCCAATGATGGTGAAGACCATGACATTTCTGTTGTGGTTTCCAGCTGATAGGGAAATATTGTTTACATTTTTTAAGCAATTTTTTTTTCTTTTTTTTTCTTTTTTCTTTTTTTTAAGGGAAGGCTCCAGGTAGAGACTGAGCTGAGAAGTATGTTTTTTTTTTTAAGTCTTGCCAAACACAGAAACTGTTCCAGCAGCAGGTAGGTTGGGACTGGGACTGCCAGGTGTCTGCGAGGTTGGTGCTGGAGTTCAGGTAAAAAGCAGGACCCTGGCAGAGCCGGTGGTGAGTGAACCCTCCGTGGGCTTGACTCACGCTGGCCATCCATGGGTTTCTCCAGCTGAAGGGCTTAGAAGCTGGCCGAGGGCACCTGCACGGGCCTGGAGCAGTGGGAAAGGGAAGAAGAGGCGAGGCAGAAGGAACAGGGTTAGGCAGTGGCAGCAGGTGCCTCACACCTCTGTTCCTGAGGCGACAGCAGCCGATCACCTTCCTCTGGCCATCCAGGGCTGCAGCTGGGAGTTTGTTTTGGCTTGTAATTGCAAATGGCTTTTTTGATGAAGGTCTTTTTCCCTACTATAGATTACTTTTACAAGCCAAAATTAGCAACAGTAGTTCAGGCAGAGTTTAGTTGCATTCAAGGTCATTTTAGTTCTGTCAATGCTGAACTCCTTTCTCGGAGGAAATGAAAAGCTGTGGCAGGTCTTGGCACATGGTTTGGAGTGTCCCCAAGGGCTCTCCTGCCCATCTCCAGGGTGGCTGCTCGCTGCATGTATGAACAGGCACAGCTTTGGGGGTCACCCTTTCTGGGTGACACCTTGGCACTAGGATGAGCATCTTACTTTGCCACAGGCAGGGTCATGTACAGTGTCATCACAGACAGGAGCACAGAGATAAATGGACCAAACTGGGGGTACAGGTGCTGCTGACCCCCCCCCCCAAACAGTCACAGCATGACTCTCAGGTGAAGTGCAAAGCCAGCACCAACTGCACATGCTGCCTAGCTGGTCAAAGACCGTGGTTGTTATAAAGTGGTGGCTGCAGCCTTTACCAGAGCAGGCTCCTGCACTCCAGAGATGCTCTCCTGTAGCTTTGCTGTTTAACCCCAGCTGTCCTGTTGGTGATGGCTTTGAGTTTGTTGTGGAGCTGAGCACAGCGTCCTGTATGATCGTGCACATTCATGCCTTGCACTGGGACCTGTGCAGGCTTCTTGACCAGCTCCAGCTCTGCCTGGCTGCAGATGGGCAGCCTTGATGTCACCTCAACACAGCAGTGGACAGCCTGAGGTGGGGGCTTTGCCCAGGATTGGGGCAGCCCTGCACCCCTGCATTGTTCTGTCAGGAAAGGGCCAAGGGGAGAGGAGAGAGTGTTGTCCATGGAGGAGGTTCTGAAGAGATTCTTTTGAGCTCCACAGTGCCAAAACATCAGTCTGTGCCGTTTACCTTCTAGTCTCTAACTTTGCCAAACAAGCTACTGTTACTTTGAACAGCCCAAGGAAACCTTAGCCTGTGTCAGCAGAAGCAAATGCTCCAGATGTGGTCTCTGCTGGGTGCGCGTTTGTGCTGAGGATACAAGCGGTTTGGGAGAAGAATCAAGGAGTCTGGGAGCGCAGGGGTGACGCTCTTCCCCACACACCAAATGTTTGCTACTTGGCCTTTGCAAATCCAAACTGAATGACAATGTGCCTTTTGGACTGTCCTTATCTCAGCCTTGTCTGCGACACCAGTCCCACGACAGGTTTGTGCCTATGCAAAGCAGGGTGGTCACAGGGTCCTGGGGACAGCCGTGACACCAGTGGGGAGAGGTGTCCTGGTCCCCAGCAAGATGCCCAGCTGTCGTGCAGAGCCCTGCCACAGCGCTGAGGGATGCCCTCTGAATCCAGCCCGGCAGTGATGCTCTTGATTGGAGCAATAGGATGTGGGTGCTGGTGTCCCTGAGAGGGAAAAAGCACCTGAGGATGCTATGAGAAGGGTTTGGGTACCAAGTGTCCACGGAGAGTGCAGGAGATGAGTGGCAACCGTGGGTGCTGTGCTTGCTGTGTGCTGGATCCAGAATGGCTGCTCCCCCCAAAGATCCATTGAAGCTCACACACCTTTCTCCATGCCAGGGGCTTGCTCCTGCCTTCTGGCCAGGTGAAGTGTCACTGAGCTTAGGTTTGTACCCAGGAGAAGACATTTCCTGATGGCTTCATCACCCACCCATCCTGGGCACGTCCCCTCCTGGTCACAGCAAGACTCTGCTGTCACTTCACTCTTGTGCCTTTTGCTCACCAGTTGGTTCGATTCCAAAGGTCTAAGGATGGTGAAAATGATAATCCAGACATTTTTCTGACCTTCATCTCCTCCTCCTCCTTCCCCAGCCCCTTCCCTACCCCATGTTTCAGAATCTCAGCTCTCCCAGCAGCGCTGGGATGTCAGAGTGAAGGATTCCTGTTGGGGTTTGCCTCTCAAAGGCACATTATGTGAGTGATTTACTGTAATCTTTTGTGGACTGGGGCTGAAAGCCAGCACAGACCCTGTTTACCCATCAGTACCATTAGTATTCAAGGTCTACTTTTTTTTTTTTTCTTTTTCCCCTCTTCAGTTTGCTGCTATGGGTCAGGGTGTTCAGCCATGTGTCAAACAGCCAATTAAATGTTTGTCACTTGTCATTTTCTAAGGGCTTTCCAATGTGGAAAGTCCTGCAGTATTTGTATATTGAAAGGATATTTTCTCCAGGCATAATCTGGTTAAGCAGACTTATTGTTTTCCATTGGACTGGAAGAGGTGGCCAATTCAGCCATCTTCCCTAGAAATTTAGTCTATTTTTATATATATATTTTGTACCAAAAAAACTGGAGCTCGTGGAGGGATGGGGATGGTTCAGGAGGTTCAGTCTGCATTGTTTCTGAGCTGGGTGTGAAGGGCTCCAGAGACAGAGAAGGTTTTTAAAGAAAGAAACTGAGGTAGGGGTGAAAACAAACAATTGTTCTTGTAACTTGTGCCAGTCACTGGTCTGATTTGTATGTTTTAATTAAAGAGAGAGCCAAATCGTTCCTGTATGACACTTACAATTGCTTTAAACTACGGCTGTTGGTTTGCTTTTCTTTTCAGAGAACAAAAGTTGGAGATGTTATTACCCTGGGAAAGCACAGGGGCTTTGTGGAGCAGGACAAGCTCCCGGGGCCCCGGCACCGCTGGCTGTTTGCTAGTGCTCCTGGACACTAACGCTAGTGCAGAACCACCCCCACCCCCCGCCCAGGCTGCTTTTTAATTTATTTGCAGGAAAACACTAGGAAATGGTTATGCCGGGTGGGTTTGTTTGGGTTATTGTTCTTGATTTTTGGGTTTGGGTTTTTTTTGTATTAATTTTTCCACTGCTCTTTTTTAGCATATCAATAAATATTTTTTTAAACTTTTCAGCCTGGTGTGGTCACTGCTCCGGGAATCCCCATCACCCAGCCCGGGTACCGCCTGGGTCCGGCCCCCCAGGAGAAAAGCCGCAGCCCCCCCGGCCCCGTTCCCTCTCCGGGGCACCGCGTTCCCGACCCTGCCCGAGGGCACCCGGAACAGGGCACCAACCATTCTCCTTCCTGCTCCCCCTGAGGGTACGGGCAGGACGCGACCCCCTCCCGACCCCGGGCCCCGGTTCCTACCGGGCGGCTGCGCGCGGGCGCGGC